TGCATTTCGTGAAGATATTCTTCCAAGGTTCCGTTTTTAACACTTAATTACGTTAAAGCATGCATCTTTATACTGATTAAGGTCCACACCCCAGTTGGTTACTTGATTAATCAATTAATAAAACATCGCCTGTATGCAATTGCAATAAAACAGCTAACTGAAATACCTCATAACATAGATAATATAAGTGTGGCTCTAGTCACGGAACTACAACAACGTAGACCGGACCATCTAACAGTTTATACAACTCCAAACTAAAAGTACTAACAGAATGTGTCATGGACAATCCTCATGCTCACTCAAATAAGGCAACATGCCCAACATCAGTCTCAACAACATCATATCATAAATAGCGGAAAACATAAACAGCATCCAAATCCAGTCAAGCTAACAACTAAGCAGAAACAACAAAATCAGCTAAACTCCGGCCTCCCGCCGCCTGAGGTAAGCATTCCCCAAACGTGGGGTAAGATCTTTAATCTAGAAATCTCAGTAAGTCAGTGAGTCCTCAAGGATCTTCCACCCCAAGCTCACTTACATGTGCAATATAAGTTCAAAAGCAGTTTATCATTTATCATTTCAAAACAATGCAATGCAGCAGATAATCATGTCATGTGTGTCAATACTAATCTACTGGCCAGAGACAGTGCAGGTATACGTCTATCACCTACACATCGTGCAAGTACCACTTGCATTCACCCCGGTACACCATCTTGTATGGCGCTACATACTCAGGCTTCCCGTCAAGATGAAACAACACATGCATATTAAAAGCCATTACATGTAAAGTTCAATCAACATATCAAATATCCAAAAGCATGTACACAGCATGCATAAACCATACCCCCATGGGACATGGTGGAACCACAACATGGCTAAACCGAGGACACGAAAGCTTACCTTGCAAGCTAACTCCAAAAGCCAAGAGTCCACAGCTCAAAGTCCAAACACAGCAGATTCACAATCTGTTATGGACCAATACTATATCAATAATAATGCAACACAAGCATATAACTTAAAGACAACGCCTCTCCTTACGTTTTACGTCTTAAGGCTCCATACCAAGCCATAAGTCCTTAATCACTTGATTCTGACTTAATTTAATTAAAACAGAAGTTCAACTTCATCAATCTAGGGTCCACAAACCCCCAATAGCCTACTGTCCTCACAACACAGCTACTGTTCTTCGAAATCCCAGAATATCAGGATATTCCTCGGGACCATATCCGGATATGCAATATCCGGATATCTAACTGGACATATCCGGATATGCAATATCCGGATATCCAGAATCCCATATCTGGATATCTAATATCTGGATACTCAAAACCCATATCCGGATATCACATATCCGGATATTGTTCGGGCAAATATCCGAATATTTCACGACAGAATGCAGAAACTGCATTTCGTGAAGATATCCTTCCAAGGTTGGGTTTTTACCGATTTTAAACACCTAAACATGCATTTCTAGGTGTGTTCAACATTACCCAACAACAAGTTATCATCTTTTAGCCATTAGATGCATCAAGGTACCATTTTTAAGCCTTAGAACTCAAGTTAAAGGTTGGTACAACATACCAAGGCTCAAAACTCAGAAGTAAAGGCTCTTGGAGCTCCACACTCTGCCTCTCCAAGTCTGACTTGAAGGGTACACGAAAATGCTACCAAAGCTTGACCATTTCCACACAAAGAAAGCTCCTTGGAGCTTCACAAGCCAAGAGCAAGACTCTCACACCTCAACTCAAGAGGACAGCCCCTCCAACACTCACAAACAGCAACCCCAACACAGAACAGGGTCAACAACACAGCCCCAAAGCTACTCTCACCCCACACCAAGTGTTTAGGAGAAGGATTTGTGAAGGAAGTTGCCTCAAAGCTCAAGAAATGGAAGAGGAACACAATGGAACAGTACTCAGCAGTTGGCCAGCCCCAAGACTCACGTAGAGAATGTGTTATGGCCTAGGGTTTTGTGCTAACAAGCCTATATATAGCCACTTAACATTTAAACACACAGTATTAACTTTAATTGCTACACTTAGCATTTTAATCCCAAACTTTGGATTCTGAAACTACACATTTTTCCAAGAATTTACATATTTTTCTTATAATTTTCTGAGCACCTTTCCGGTACGCGCTTTTCCAAGCCAGTACCGGTTTCTAGCACCAGTTCTCATTATTTGGACTTGAAACTCGCTTTACATGTCCTACATATTATTCTAGTAATTAACATGCACTTACATTAATTTTCCGGGATACTTTTTCGGTACGCATTTATACTGACTAGCAGAACCGGTATCTGCACTTTTCTTCCGAAAAGCGACTTTCAGCATTATTACTCACTCAATATAATTATTAAAGCCTCATAATAATTATTAGGGTCAATTATGGAATCATTTCCTATTTTCTCATAATTTATTAATTAAATACCTTAATTAACGGTGCAGGTTCTTACACCATTTTTATCGTGGGAGTAGAATTTTAACTTTCCCCACAGATAACATCAATGTTCTGTCTAGATGACAGAAATGTCTAGCCAAGGGCTAGTAGATCAATCTTGGATCAAGCACTCCCTCTAGGTATTTATGAATTAGATAACTTCAGAAAGCAAAACATTATACACAACTAGTAACAGCGTTAACCAAAGGGGTGGTGTGTATGCTCAATGACAGCATAATAGTAAAAGAGAGAGATTAGATTATACTTGTAGGCTTTACCTCCTATTGATAGAGTTTACCTGTGAGGAAAAGAGTTCTGGGCATCATAGTCCATAAGCCCAATCATGCCATTGTATAGCTGTCATGTGATTGCCTTTTGCTGGCCTTTTAGATATATGAACCTTATATATGTCCATAACATAGAGAAAATAATTTAGTTGGACAATATTTATTTAAGAGCCAAAGGAGTATTTATGGTCCACATGTGAGGTAACCAAAATCAAATCAAGTTATAATTAGATATAAAATTTTCATAATTAAATAACAATCATACAAGTTTTTTTTAAATTAAATCTCAATTAAATCATGATTAAATAACATATTGATCTGGATAATTATTATACAAATACAAGGCCCAAACTAAAAGCCTTCACAATGAAGCAAAGCCTTAGTCCAAGAAGGCTGCAAGCTCCATAATATTAAAAGCTCCATGACAGCTAGCAAGCTCATGACAGCCATCAAGCTGCACAATATTAAAGGCTATCGCAGCAAGCAGCACAACCTTAAAGACTCCATGATAGCAAGCTCCTCAACATTAAACATGGCAGCTCTATTACTTTGCCTCCAAGACAAAGCAAACCTGATCACTAAGTAACATCTCCCCAAGCTGCTCATCTCTCCACTATAAATACATGTATCAACACTAAGGTACATTATCTTCTCCTACATAATTAAACCTGCTTGTACCAAATCTAATTTGAGCGTCGGAGTGTCTTACAGATACACCCTCATCGCGTTCCATTGAAGACCCATGGGATAAAGCGGCCCAATGCAAGATGCTCTAACCCAAGATGGTTCCAGGCTGTGTAGAGGAAGATCACATGATCGGCCCAATTGTAAAGATCTATTCCGATCACATATCATGAACATCATCCTTTTAAGAAATGCTTATAACTATTATTTTATTAAGATTTTGAATCATATATCTGAACATTAGAATTGAATTGCAATGAGAACTACAATTATATGTTCTTATTATTATTTTTTATTTTTTGAAATTTGAACATACAACTTAAAATTTGGGGGCCAATTTTAATTTTAATAAAAATTAGAATTAAATTTTTTTTCTTTGATTTATTAAAGCAATTCTACGACACTATAAAATGTGTATAAACTTTTTTTTTTTTTTTTGGTAAACAAATGTGTATAAACTTTAAGCTAGGTTGACGAAATTCTTCGTACATAAAAGTGATGAAATAAATTGATTGCAATTTCGGAAGGAGAAAATTTAAGTCATTTTTGAAAAAAATTCTTAAGGTCTCTTCATACCCTTAAATATGCTTGACAAATAAGAAATTATGAAAATATTTTGTTTTTGCGTATTATGTGTCATTCTAATTATTATTCACACGTTCACTTATACTTATGAAGACACCAAACTATAAGTAATTTCTTCAATATTTATTATTGTTAGTTGTTCAAATATTTATTATAGTATAATCAACAAATAATAATTCAGCAGAAAAATTAATTAATTTTTAATTTAATTTAATGTAATATTAATATTAATAATGAGTTATCAAACTTTTTAAATAATCTGTTAAAGCCTAATTTGATTGCAGTATAAAACTTTTTACATTAAAATTATGTGGGAGATTATATTTACTATCTTTTTTTTACTATCAAATTTTAACCGTTAATTTCTGCTAATCTAACAGTTATAATTTATTAGAAATTAATAATTAATTAATAAATATGACACAATAAATTATAATATTAGATTGACGAAAATCAATGATTAATATTTAATAATAAGAGGTAGTGAAAAAAAAGATAATAAATATAATTTTGACTCCGGATAAAATAAGAAGTCTTGCTTTTTATTTCAGCCATTGATTTTTGTATATTTAATAGTTGTAATTTATTAAAGAATAAAATTAATAAGTATAATTCAATAAATTATAACTATCGAATGCAATTAAGATGAGAAATAAAACTTCTAACTATGATGTAAGAATATCTCAAAACTAAATGTACTAAGAGCAACAATTTAGATAAAAAATAATACCTTTTATTCTTATACGGGAATAAAAAATTCCTCAAGAATGATATCAAAATAATTGTTTTTTAAGTACAACCTTTTTTTTTTTAATTTTTATTGATACATGCTTAAAGAAACAAAGTAGTAATAAAAATGTTACTCCGTTCACCAAAAAAAAAAATGTTACTCCTTACCCACCGATTATTCCATATCACCTGGGAATGCTTCTCACGTGCGAATGAGAAATAAAATATAGATAAATAAGATGGAGAGGGTTTTCAGTTTTTAGGGTTTAAGCGTGGAACGCCATTTCCATTTCCATTTCCATTTCCAAAATGCAATTTGATGTTACTTTAGAATCGCCGAGGATAACAACAGGTAAATGAACCAAATTATATCATATCTGCTTCCAATTTAACATTTAAATCATGCAATTCATTCAAACAATTATATATGTCTATATTTTAATTTTAGTTTTCTAGACTAATTTTGAACTAGCTTATGATTGGATTTTGGGTTTGTCTGTTCAGTCATCTACTTGATTCTTTGCCTTTCTTCCCTTGCTAATCATTATACCTTCTCGTTGAGAAGAATCATAATGTTTTTTCTCTTCTGTCTGCCTAGTGCTCTTCTTTTTCTTTTTATTCTTATAGTTTTTTGGGGAATGCTTATTGATTTCTTGGATGATGAGATTTAGGTACATAGTTGTGGATTACATGAATAATGCTGTATTCATTGGTAACCATTTGTTGAATTTTATCATTTAGATAGTAGTTAGGGCCAGAGTAGTCAATTTACTTCTCCTATGAACTAATTTGATTGACCCCATATCTTTCACGGACCAATTTGACTATTTACTCATAAATAAAAGTAATGAAACCTTCTATAGCCTTTTGTTTTTAGTAGTGGACCATTTATCAAGTAGAATTTACCTATTGTGGTACATGGGGGGTCGTTATTTAGAAGGAAATTAAAGTTAGGGATAAACTGTTCTGGTTTATGTAATCGGTGGGGAGATTATAATGGAGGAGTAATAAGCATAAGAATAGGTTAGCAAGAAGCAATTGGGAGAGAGTAAGTATAGTGGGCGCTTTGGTGAATGAAGGAAAAAATTATTCTAATAAGCATTGGAAATTATGCTACTTCCATGCCTCTCTGTTCACAAGCAGGGGAAATGTAATTTTTCTGTAATCTGCAATATTGCCATAATGTATTTCAGGTTGGTTGCTCCAGGCTGCTATCCAAGATTGATTACTATGGCCTTATCTTTCTTATGCACAGTAGCTTTACAAGTTAGGTAAATCCATTTTCAAATCATTTTGTCAAATCGAAAATGATTGGGTCTTAGACCTAACTGTTCTAGGTTTACTCGTAGGTCTGATTTTTGATTGGGGGCCTATGCAAGCTGTCATAAATAGTGAATATTGATCACCTCACCCAACTTAACACACTGCAAGAATCGGAGCTTTGGAACTGGCTCCACGCCATAGTTTGACGAGAAAAATGTTCTGGAGGGTATTGGCAGCACCAGCTCTCACTAAATTTCACTTGCCCAAGAATGTCTCCTCAAACACATTGCTTCTCACACCCCTCTTGTCCTCCAATTCCTTACTTCGCAAAATAAGGTACTTTTCTCTCTCTGTCTCTCTCTCTCTCTCACTTGTGCTTTATTTGGCATTTCTAGGAATAGTCAAGAAAGGGAGAAATCAGATGCTGGAAATTTTGGGTGTATTATTTCCATTATATACAATTTTGAACTTCATTTGAATACTGTAAAGCACAAAATTATTAAGTTCAATGGTTTATTTTACTTGTGTTTTTGCTTACATAAGTGAAATGGGAATGCTAGAAAGACAAGGCTGAGATTTGTACTCAAAAGTTTTGAAGTAAACTATAAGATGGTGGTTAGAATGCAAATAGCCACTGCTTAAGAGCTCAAATGTTTGGCAGAAGATTGTCTGAAGGAGGAGATATGTATGGTACATGCAGGGTTGGAGGTATGAGATTTCCCTTGGGGGAGAAAAAGAATAAGAATACTTTGTATGAGGAGGCCAAGTTACAGCTTTTTAATTTTCTAAAATAAAAATAAATGTAAAAGTCTCATTTATTTTTTTGGGGGGACGGTGGCTTGGCATAGGTCTCACAGTTATCTATTCTCTTCTCCTGGCTATGTGTTCTACTTTGTAAGGGATTCAAGATTTTTATTATGCTGAATTTTTGTTTTCTCCATATTAATTGTGATTGGCCTTTCATTTTTGTTATTTAAGATGAATATGGTTATTATTTTTTAACAGATGACAATCATTTATATTTAGCTAAACTTTATTGATTAGTTTAATGCAATAATGTTTTACCCTTTTGGTTTTAGTTAATACTTTAGAAGGCGAAATCTGTAACATGCTAAATTGATCCTGTATGTTGAATATTTCAGTGTGTCACTGATCATTTTGAGGGTTTTACTTTTATTTTTATTTGGGTTAACTTGTAATCTTGTATGTGTGCCAAAAATTTAGAAACAGGATTTGGCTTGAATGTTTTGACTTACATTGCTGTAGCTTGAACTATGTTATATGCAAGGTTTGTGGCCAGGAACCTATTTTTGGCCACCACTATGGCAGAAAAGCGTCTCCTTTCTTGGGACACCTAAGCTTTCATTCAGGTCCATTTCTGAAGTCTAATGATAAGGTTGTAGAGCAATTTCAGGATTCTGAAAAATCCTCAAGTTCTAGTAGTGCAGATAATGCCAAAATAAAGAGGAAAAAACTCAAGGGGAAAAGAGCTGTTGTAAGATGGCTAAAGTTCTTTAGATGGAAGAAGAAGAAAGAGTATGAACGGATGACAGCAGAGGAAAAAATTTTATACAAATTGTTGAAGGTAAGTTCTTTTTTTTTTTTTTTAAATTTGCATACATCAACCATTTGAATAAATAAATATATGTATATATATATGTGTTTGTGTGTGTGTGTGTATATATTGTATTAGTGTGATTCTGCAGATTCTTTGCTTTTTACCCCTTGCCACCCTTCGGTAGCTATATCTTGATACATTTTTGTTTTTCATATTAGTATTTTACATACTACCCATGGATTATATTTAAGTTTTAGTAGCATGAGGAACTACGATTCTCTACCATTCCATGAATAGTGATCTTGTAGACTAATGTTTAAGGCCTGATGAGTTTCTCAAAGTAATGAAGTTTTTGATAGAAATAATGATGTTGTTGCTGGAAACTTAGTCGTGCAATAGTATTTTCTTCTTGTTTATGTATGTATAAGCCTGTTGTTAAAGAAGCCAACTAGAATAGTGGAAGCATGCTATGCTAACCAATATTTGTTGTGAAGAATTTTCTGAGATAGAATCGATTGATTCATTCTTGAATCATCGATGGAGTCAGTAAAGATAAAAACAAGCAATGGTTCTTTGTATTCAGTATTGGAGTTTGGTATTCACTCTGCGTAACCAAATTTAAATCTTAATACGGAATTTCACTTAGATGAAAATGTAAGAAGATGTATTAAAAGTTTCAGTTTTGAATAATGAATTAGAAGATTATTGTAATGCATTTTTTTATAATTTTCATAACAAATTGATATTAATTCTCCAAGTTTAACTTTTTGTTCTAAAGAAAGTCAAAACTTTGTTCAAATCTCTTTGGGAAATGATGGTGATTGAAGATATCTAGCTGTTTGAGTGTGACATTTAATTGCTTGAATAGGAGATTTGCATTCGTAGTTGCTGACTCACATTCCTACTTTACTTGAATTTCAGAGAGAAAATCTGTTTGGGTGAATGTTGTGTCCTTAACGAACCACATCTAGTCTCTATATATATTACATGGGTATTAATTACTATGATTCAACCTGGATACGCATATCCTAATTGATTCTATAGTATATGCATGATATCCTACATTCCTACTGTAAGCATCTACGATATTCTAACATATTACATATTTTGTCAAGGTATTCTAACACTCCCCCTCTAGGTGGTGTCTATATATCATATGCACTAAGCTTGTCACATATAGTTGATTTAGGGATTTCTAAGAGCATTAGTGAAAATGTCTACAAGTAGATCCTTGGAGTTAACAAATGTGGTTTCTATTTCCTCGCAAGTTGGTCTTGTTAGGAATGTGGCTTCCATACTCACCGAGAGGGGGGGAGGGGATGAATTGAGTATTACAAATTTTTCGCAACAACCCCCTTCTAATTTCTAAATTATCATTTCAAGCAAGCTTTGATATATGAAAAGCTAATTAATACATTTAAATAATTCATAACATATAATATATCAAAATTATAGAACCTAAACTAGCACAGACAAGATATCCAAGAAGCAATTAAAGTGCTAGAAATAAAGAGTTTAGAGAAGTGCAAACACAATATATCCTTGTTCAGTCACTACCACTTGTGACCTACGTCTAGATTGAAGCCGCTCGGTCAAATCTTTCCCTAATGGTCAAGCTTCACGGGTGCTTGACAAACCGCTACAACCTCCAAGATTTTGGGTTCTTGGAAACCTTACAACCTCCAAGTTTGCGGGTACTTGACAACCTTACAATTCTCTCCAAATTTCCCTAGGTATTTGCTATCTTTCAAACTCAATGGGTCTCACAATCCTTTCAACTCAAGAATCATAGTAGTTAATTGCGCCCAATAGCGCCGCAAGCCGCGCCGTATGGGCGTTGCGGTGCCTCTCCGCAAGAAACTGCGTCGCGCTGCATCGGAACGCAATAGCGGCCATTGCGATTCCATTTGCGGCCATATTGTTGTCATAAGGCAAAATGTCAATTTTGTCCTAAATTTAAATGTGTAACAGAAAAAATTTAAGGATTTTTTAGTCTATCTGCGTCTCTCTCTGTCACTTCTGTTATCTCTGCCTTTAAAAAATGTTTCTTTTTGTCATATATCTATTCCGCTATTTCCGTAATCCGCTATAACGCTATAGCGTTTTTCGGGGTTCGCCGCGACATGCCGCAATCCGCATTTGATAACTATGTCAAGAATACAAGAAGGAAGGGTTTGGATATAAATATACACTCTCAAAGTGTGGATATGCAACTTGAAGCACTATGGGTATATGGATTTTCAAGATATGAGCTCAAATATGTGTAATCTTTGAAAGATATGAAAGAATATGCAAATGATAGTGTAGAAGCTCTCAAATATGCTTAAGATGTGTAAAAATGATACCCAAAACATTTTGGAGTCGTTAAGAATGTATATATAGTGTTTCCATTGAAAACTAGCCGTTTATAGCCGTTATACACTTTTTGGACAGGTCATATCCGGATATATGTAGAGGCATATCCGGATATATCAAGATAACATGAATACTGTTTCATATTTTGAGCATATCTTGAGCTATTCTTTTCGAGTCGATGTGATATTGGTCTCGTTGGAAAGATAAAAGAGAGATCTACAACTTCTATGAAGAACATAAGATCCAAATCCATCATCTTGGATACGAAAAGTTATCCGGAAGACAGCAGTGAAATTATGAAACGAATTTTAAGTTCAAATATGTTTTAGCTTGCTTCTAACCACTTTTTATGGAAGATCTTGATTTGATAAATATGTTTTGAAGTTACAAAACATGTCAAGGATCTTTTCCATTGGTTTTTCAAATTTCTTTCAAGTATATAAAGGTTATGGATTATGCAATTTGAAAAACACGTTTACTTTAAGAAAAAATTTGAGCTCATGCAATGCAATCTGTCATATATCCTTACATATGAGTCTAAGTCCTAAAGATATATTCTAAATATGATTTTAGACTTAGCTTCAAGTCTTATCTTTATTCTTCACTCGAGTTTGTCCTTTGACTTGTTGGATATGACAATGCTTGACAATTTGTTGGTTTTGCTCCTTTTTCACCTTGGTTTGTTGCTTTTGATCTTAGTTTTGCTTATCTTCCTTGTTGCACTTGATTGTATTGCTCTTGACTCCTTGCTATTCTCAAAGCTCATCCATGTTGTTGCAACTTTAATGTCATTAATCTTCTTATGTGGTTCCAACATGCATCTTCAATTTTCACACATAGTTAATGATTTTTTGCACTTGATCAAAGTTCTTCTCTTTTTGTTGTTGCCTCTTTGTTATCATTAAAACATACCTTGTATCTATAGGTCTTTGTTCCACAGGCAGTCCAGCCCACCGATTTTTGTCCTAGATATGCATTCTGCCCCGGTCTTTGTCCTATTGTTTGGTTATTTTTCTTTTTTAACAGGCTCATTTGTAACAAGCTTAAAAGCATAATAAGCTTAATAATCTTAAGCTTGAGGGGGAGTGTTAGAATATCTAGAATATATCTTATAATGTTATGATTATATCTTAAAATAATTTAGAATATCTTAGGTTATCTCTTAGGATTGGTTTCTATTTTTCCTCATATTTCATGATTTGTTTCTTTATTTTAGGAATCTGCAATTAATATAATATGGGTTATTAGTTATTACTTTTCCTTTTGTATCACATTATATCACATTCTTCACAACAATATCAATATAACTTTATTCTAAGTACTCATTTTCCTTTCTATATACTTAAATCTCTATAATTTCAACAATTTTGCATCTGTTGTTTTTGAATCAAAATTGGCCTTTACTGAATTCAGTCCTACCACTCCAAGATCTGTCATTTTTTGTTTTTTATCTGCACTGCATGGTTTATTTTTTCCGATGGCATGGCATGAAATCAATTCGTTTCCCTTTTTTTTTTTTCTTTCCTCAAGATTGAGAAAGCTCTTGCATTCTCATTTAGTTTTTAGTTCATTGTTTTGAATTAAATATTATACTTTAGGTTTACTGGTTTGTATTTTGTGTCTCGTGTCAACTAATGAATATACAATCCTTACTCCACCGTACTAGGCTCGTGAAAAAGAAGAGAGACTTTGTGAAGCCTTGAAGAAGATTGAGCCTGCAGAATCATCTGAAACAACCCATGATCCTGAGATATTGACACCAGAAGAGCACTTTTTCTTCTTAAAGATGGGCATCAAATCCAAAAATTATGTGCCAGTTGGAAGACGGGGAATTTACCAAGGTGTTATTTTGAACATGCATCTGCATTGGAAAAAACATCAGACACTGAAAGTGGTGGTGAAGACATTTTCACCAGAAGAGGTGAAGGAGATTGCCACTGAGCTTGCAAGATTGACTGGAGGTATAGTGCTTGATATTCATGACGATGACACAATAATAATGTACAGAGGAAAAAACTACTCTCAACCACCAACAGAGATAATGTCTCCACGAGTCACTCTCCCAAGAAAGAAGGTACTGTCTATTGTGTTCAATTTTTAGTCATTTGTGAATACTTGAATATAAAATAATAGAAGAATAATATGTTGTGTATTGATCTGTGTCAGAGAGTTACAATATATAGAGACCCTAATGGGCTTAAGTGAAAGGCCCAAACCTAATCCTAATACAGTCAGAATATTTACGGATAAGACGGAATCCAATCATATCATATCTAATATTCTAACACTCCCCCTCAAGCTGGTGCATATATATTATGAGCACCAAGCTTGTTACAAATGTATTCAACCTGAGGACCTCTAAGAGCTTTAGTGAAAACATCCGCTAGTTGATCAGAGGAGTTGACGAAAGCAGTCTTGATTTCTCCTGACTGAATCTTTTCTCGAATGAAGTGACAATCAATCTCTATATGTTTGGTCCTCTCATGAAAGACAGGATTAGAGGATATATGTAGCGCAGCTTGATTATCACAGATGAGTGTCATGGGTTGTTTCTGTTCACAAAGATGAAGCTCCTGAATCAACTGCTTTAACCAGACTAACTCACAGGTAGCATTTGCCATTGCACGATACTCAGCTTCTGCACTAGATCGAGCAACAACAGGTTGTTTCTTGCTCTTCCACGAAATTAAGTTTCCTCCAAAGAAGACACAATAGCCAGAAGTAGAGCGCCTGTCCGAGGGTGATCTTGCCCAATCAGCATCTGAATAACCACAAATTTCTGTATTTCCCTGATCTGAATACAACAAACCTTTTCCTGGTGCTCTTTTGATGTATCGGAGGATCCTCACAGCAGCATCCCAATGTGAATCACAAGGGGAATCAAGAAACTGACTAGCCGTACTAACAGCGAAAGAAATATCTGGCCTAGTCACAGTAAGATAGTTGAGCTTCCCAATTAGCCTCCGATAACGTCCAGGATCAGATAACGGCTCCCCTTGTCCGGGCAATAACTTGACATTAGGATCCATAGGTGTATCAACTGGTTTACTCCCCAACATACCAGTTTCTTCTAGGATATCCTGGGCATATTTCCTTTGACAGATAGAAATGCCCTGTCTGGATTGCGCCACCTCAATTCCCAAGAAGTAACGCAGCTTCCCAAGGTCCTTTGTTTGAAATGTACTAAACAAATGCTGTTTTAACTGACGAATTCCGTCTTGATCACTTCCGGTGAGAATGATGTCGTCAACATAGACTAACAAATAGATACACTTATCAGGAGATGTAATCCTATAATACACAGAATGGTCAACTTTACTGCGGATTAAGCGAAACGCCTGAACAGCAGAATTGAAGCGACTGAACCATGCTCGAGGAGACTGCTTGAGACCATATAAGGATTTCTAAAGACGACACACCTTTCCAGACTCCCCCTGAGCAACAAAACCAGGTGGTTGCTCCATGTAAACTTCTTCTTGTAAATCACTATGAAGAAAGGCATTTTTGATGTCAAGTTGAAGGAGTGGCCAGTGACGAACAGCAGCAAGGGCAAGAAAGAGGCGGACTGACGCCATCTTAGCGACCGGAGAAAATGTATCGCTATAATCAAGGCCAAAGATTTGAGTAAAACCCTTGGCAACTAAACGTGCCTTGAGACGATCAATATGGCCATCAGGTCCAACTTTCACAGTAAAAACCCAGCGACAACCAACTATAGACTTCTCTGGAGGAGCAGAAACAAGGTCCCAAGTGCCATTGGAATGAAGTGCAGTCATCTCATCAAGCATTGCTTGGCGCCACCCTGGATGGGAAAGTGCTTCACCTGTGGTCTTAGGAATAGAAATAGAAGAAAGACTAGAAACAAAGGTGAAATGAGGTGAAGAAAGACGGTCATAACTCAAAAAGGTATAAAGAGGATAAGGGTTACGAGTAGTACGTGTACCTTTTCTTTGAGCAATGGGAAGAGTCTCTGATGAAGGATCCGGAGGGGAAGAAGCAACAGCAGTGGGCGATGAGTCAGCAAGAGTCGAGTCGACAGGAGGCACAGTTTTGCGACGCTGATAGGTGAGAAGTGGACGGTCCTCAGGTATAGAAGCAATAGGTTGCTCATCTGGAATAGAAGCACCTGCAGCTGGCAAAGACAAGTCAAGAAAAGGGACAAGAAGTACATGATCAACCTGTGACATCTGAGATGGGATAGAATTAAAGGGTTGTTGATCAAGAAAAGTGACATCAGCGGAAACTAAGTAACGCTTAAGGTCGGGAAAATAACAACGATAACCCTTTTGAAGACGAGAATAACCAAGAAAGATACACTGAAAGGCTTTGGATGTTAACTTATCCTTACCAGGAGTGAGATCATGAACAAAACAAGTACAACCAAAGACATGTGGAGTTAGAGGATAAAGAGGAACATCTGGAAGCAATAGATTATGAGGAATGTCATTGTGGAGCACAGATGAAGGCATGCGATTGATGAGAAAACAAGAGATGAGTACAGCATCTGCCCAAAAGTGAAGGGGAACCTGCATATGAATAAGAAGGGTACGGGCAGTTTCAATGAGATGTCTGTTTTTACGTTCAGCCACCCCATTTTGTTGTGGAGTGTGAGGACAAGTAGTTTGATGTAAAGTACCTTGTGTGGCTAAGAAATTAGAAAAATCAATAGAAACATATTCCTTAGCATTATCACTACGTAGAATACGAATAGAAACACCAAATTGAGTATGGATCTCAGTAGAAAACTTTTTATAAATGGAAAATAGCTCGGAACGATTTTTCATTAAATAAGTCCAAGTGCAACAGGAAAAATCATCAATAAAGGTAACGAAATACCGAAAACCTAAGACAGACAAGGTACGACTTGGACCCCAGATATCTGAATGAACAAGAGAGAAAGGGGCATCAGCTCGTTTATTGACTCGACTGGCAATAGAGGAGCGTGTATGCTTCCCTTGTTGACATGACACACAATCTAAAGACTGAAGACCGGACAAAAGAGGAACCATTTTCTGCAACTATGAAAGACTTGGATGACCAAGGCGACTGTGGATAAGTTGTGGAGATTCTGTGAGAGAGCATGCTACTGAAGGACGAGGCACATCCAGATAATAAAGCTCTCGTGACTCACGACCCACTCCAATCATTTTCCCTGTACCCGGATCCTGCACAGAAACAGAATGGTTAGAGAAAGTAATGGTGCAAGTGAGGGAGTGGATCAACTTACTAATAGAAATTAAGTTATAAGGGATGCCAGGAATGTAATAGACAGATGTCAGGGCCAAGGTAGAGGTCGGACGAGCTTGTCCAATCCCACGAACTGGGGCTTTGGTTCCATCCGCAAGGGTAAAAGACGGTAAATGATCAGAATAAGTAAGAGATGTAAAGAGTTCCTTATTACCACATAGATGATCGGTAGCACCGGAGTCAAATATCCAAGTGCCAAGTGATGTAGAATGAGAAACACAAGCAACAGGATTACCAGTATAAGGCTGAGACTGAGGAGAAGCCTTCCTGAGAGGGGTTTGGAGTGCAGCATAGTCCGAACCTGAACCAAATGATGCATTGTCTGACTGAGCTATATTTGCAACAATAGAAGGAGAGTTAACCTTCGAGAGATCAGGAGATACTGCTACCATTTAAAGATAAAATATAAAAGCCGTAAACGAAGGCAAACAATATCCAATCAAGAAGAACCACGCGTCTAAGGTCAGACCCACAGAGAAACAATCACAGATCCAGAAAGGGGAGGAGAAAACCACGCGTCTAAGGTCAGACCCACAGAGAAACAATCACAGATCCAGAAAGGGGAGGAGAAGGCGAGCTTCTCTGTCCAAGACCGGCCGGAAAAAGCCGCCGGAATAGTGCTCACGCGTCGGCAGAAGGTGGCGCGTGAAGCCCACGCGCAGAGAAGACAGGTGGCGCGTGACGGCGCATGGGAGATGCGTTGCTGACCGGACCACCACAGACCTGGTCGCCGGGAAGAGAGGGTCCTGATCGCGTGAAGTTTGGTCGGAAAAGTCGCCGGAAAAAGTCTCCGGTTGCCTGAACAGTGATTCTGACGGCGGGCGGTGGTTCCGGTGGCCGTCGGAGGTGCTGACGCGTTTGGGAAAATCACTCAGAGGCTGTTTACGCTAGAAGGCTTGCCGGAAGGACGCACGGCAAGAAAGAGGACTCCTAAGCAGTGGGCTTAGGTTTTAAAGCAAAAAACAAGGTTTCTAAGCGGAAGCGAGGGTTCCCAGAACGAAAGAGCTCTGATACCAACTTGAATATAAAATAATAGAAGAATAATATGTTGTGTATTGATCTGTGTCAGAGAGTTACAATATATAGAGACCCTAATGGGCTTAAGTGAAAGGCCCAAACCTAATCCTAATACAGTCAGAATACAGTCAGAATATTTACGGATAAGACGGAATCCAATCATATCTAATCATATCATATCTAATATTCTAACATGAATAAAGAATAGATTTGGAGTTCCCCCGAGTGCCTTGTTTCAAAATCTCTTCCTATGTAGGTTTTCGTTGTCCAGGATTAAGCGTTTTTGGGAAAATTAAGTAGCAAGAGATTAAACGGTAACCCTTATGGATCCATGAGTAGTATTCTTGCTTAATGTCATTGATATTCTTCAATAACAACAGATTCTAAACAGTCTTCAAATAGTCATTCAATTTTAAGCTGAGAAAATGTTACGCAAGACTCTCACTATCAGCTGCTTTTTCTACTGCTCTTCATCTGAAAAATAGCCATGCTGCATTCAATCATAGCTTCTCCTTTTTTATTTTTTATTTTTCATTTTGGTAATGTAAAACTTTGGACCATTTCTAATCATTCCAATTTCATCATATGTCCCCAAAGGGACTTGCTTCTCCTTCCTTTGTTTCCACGCAAGGCTTCAGTTGCAGAACCGCTGCAATGTCTGAAATATGGCTTTCATAGTCCTTGGATATGTATATGCAATCTCTCCTGTTATTTTACTTGTCTGTTTCAAAAAATTTGAAATTTTATATTTAGCTCTTGCATACTTTACTTTATTTTGAGGGCGCGAGTTTTGTAACAACAGTAAGATTGTTCCTTATGACTGAAAAGTCATGAGTTTGAGTTTGAGTTTGAGTATAATCGACCCTCATTTCTGCTCTCGCAAATCAGAAAGCCTTGTGCACCAGAATTCGCCCTTTATACTTTTACTTTATTTTAAAATATCTAGTTTCTCACCGTCTCTCGTCGGGGTAATCTCATTTTATGCAGGCATTGGATAAATCCAAATACAGGGATGGGCTCCGAGCTGTGAGGAGATACATTCCCAGACTTGAGCAAGAGCTTGAAATTCTTCGAGCACAACTGAAAAGCACAGGTGAAAGTAATGCAGATGCTGCTGAGGGAACCCAGAAAAGTGATAAGGAGAGTATTGAGACTGGTAGTATTTCGAATTTCCGGCTAGATAATTCAGATAAAGTTCGTGAGATGATAAATGATAACATTGGTTGCCCAGAGGATGAGACAGATATGGAATCTGAATTGGATTCAGATTCTGATAAATTATCAGATATCTTTGAGACTGATGCAGATACAGAGAATTTGTCAAAGGAGGAGAAACCTCTTTATTTGGACGAGTTTGATAATTTTCTTGAGCAAAGCGATGGAGAAACAGATGATTTTGAGGAACATCTACGACAAATATCTTTGAACTCAAAAAACATGGAAAAAGATGTCAACATACCTGAGTTTGACGAAGTTGACAAGATTTTTTTGCGTGCTGCATCCTTTTTAAAGAAAAAAAGAAAATGAGAAATTTTGAAGGAAACCTTTGTACTGGATTTAGTTTTTTTTATTTTTTTTTCCTTGAAGGGACGGGGTGATGATGTTATTGTAGAAACCTTTCGGACAGGAGGTAAATAAAATTCATTCATGGAGGATAAATCATTACAAATATCAACTAAATAAGCCATTACAGTTTGTAAAGAAATGCTGAGAGGCATCTCAAGGCATCATTTCGAAACTAATTAAAATTAGAGACAGATATGTTACAAACTTATATTTTAGACTAAATTTGTAAATACTGATAGTAGAAGTGGTACTGATCCTATTTAGTATAGGGACATTAAAATTTTCTCCGAAATAAGAGCACAAGCATTTGCATAGAAAATAGGTGTGATAAATATTTTTAAGTCGTTACACACTTTCATGAATGTTTTAAGTTAACATTTTGTCTTCATCGCCTTTTTTGAATGTTCAGATTAATTTTTTTATCTTATATAGTTTGTGTAAATAGTTTCTTGTTTCATTGCATAAGGTTATAATTTTATTAAAATATGGGTTTAGTATTTTTTTTTTTTTAAAGTTGAAAATAATCTTTTTCTCCCGTAAACAAATTAGAATGGGTGGAATTTACTTTTTTTTAAAAAAAAAAAAAAATTGGAAACATATATCACATTACATTTGTTTTCTGTTTTTATAAACATCAAATTAGACTTTTAAAAATATATGACAATAAAATAGTCTTTCAAACATCTAATTAGTCATAACAAAGCAAATGATATTTCTATTCAACGAAAAGTGTTTTTCCTTTTAAATGACATAATTTGTGATTTTTTTTCTCTCATAAAGTAGTGGGGCCCACATCTTTATTTTATTTTGTCCACTCTCTCCTCATGATTTATCTCTTCCTCTCACTTAAAATGACACAACTTTACATCTTTTGAAATGACACACTTTTCCCATTGCACATAATAGTCACATTTTTTATTGGTAGACCGTAATAGTCACATTTGTTGATATGAATCCTGTGCTTTTCCTCTGATTATTTATATTGTTTTGCTATACTTTAATCTTAATTTAGGCATTTAGTAATTTACACTTGGCAGAATTCTGTTTTGCGTGTATTTTGTGATAATCCCCCACGTAATTTAGTCCATTTCATTGCATTATGTCGCATTTAGAAATTAGGACTTGGAAAGATAATTGTTAATGAGTTCGCTTTTTCTACTGTCAATGTAGATAATTTATTTACAGTGAGTCCAAAACGACGTCATTTTGATGCGGAAATTAAGGTATTTTTGTAATTATAATTTTTTTCAGGGTTATAATAGTCTTTTTCATTATAATTTTTTAATTTTTCAATTCAAAACGACATCGTTTTGGGAGCAAATATAGATAACTTATCTACATTCACTTTAGAAACATTAAAGCCATTGTTAATATGCATATAGTATAAGAAAATATTAGTCTCACGTTGTAGGATACTAGTATCTCATGTCATAAATACAAATCATGTGAGACCCAACTCTTTTAACAAATAAATAAATGAGGAGTCACACATATTTTGTGTCTATGACATAAGATATTAGTCTCTTACAACTAAGTATGGCAAAAATGAGCAAACCCGAGTAACCTGCATAAAATGAGTCGAGTTGGGTTGACAAAAATGAGCTAACAACCTAAACTAGCCCGAAAAAATCAAGTCAACCCACGGGTCAAACGGGTTAGCTCACGATTTATTCTTTTTTTTATTAAAAAATACAAAAGAATAATAAGGGGGCCAGATCTGCTCAAAGAAAGTAAAAATCTAAAGGCTAAATCCCAAATGATACGCTGTCATCGATGTCCTTTGCAATAAATATCTTATATCAAATGAAAATCATTTCCATAGCTTCCCCAGCACATGTACTGAATGAGTGTGACAAAGACTATTCCCCCCCCCCCCCCTCATTTTATCGAGCCAACTCTAACCTAGCTCGGATCGAGCCTGGTTGGCCCATTTTATCATCCCTACCTATAACATGAGACTTGTACTCTTCATATTATAATCTATATAATGCATTTTATCACATTTTCAGCTTTTAGTCACATTGGGACTAAGCTAACTACATGTTAACTATTTTATGGTTATAGTTAAAGGTTTTTTCTCTGGTTCATAGCTCTAGGTAACTAGGTAATTAGGTTTTTGAATTTTATAGTTTAGAATTTCTTCTCACACAAGACAGAGGTTTGACAATTCATGGTTATTTTAGATTATGAAAAACTATTCTTTTTGCCTTGTTGGCTTGTCCTTTTTTTAGCTATTTTGGTGAAAAACTAAATGGTACCATCTTTTGCCTTTCATATAAGAAAGTGTGGAACCAATGCATTCTAGGTAAAGAATATAAAGGTTCAACGATTTTGATGATAACAAACAAGCATGGAAAGAAAGCTTCAAAGTGAAATCATCAAAAAGAAGTCTAAAGAAGATCAAGACTCAAGCTTCAAGAGAAGACTCTAAGTCCAAGCAATCTCAAAGTAACATATCTTAGGACTTAGGATCATTTGAAAGGGAAATTGATTTCTCACGCGAACGAAGCTCAAAGCATTTCTCAATGCATTAAATCATCGTTTAAACATTCAAATGCATTCCTAGCATGAAAATTTGTTTTCAATGTTTATCAAATGCTTAAAAGGATTTGAAACTGACTTGAATCATGAGAAAACCATTTTGGGACGAAATCCAACCTTTTAACAGGTTGGTAATCGATTACCCAAGCAATGGTAACCGATTACCTTTGAAGGTAATCGATTACCCAAGCAATGATAATCGATTACCTATTGTGCATAAGACAAAATAACGGCTATAAAACGGCTAGTTTATGAAAATGAGTAGAAAAACACTCATGGGCCCCTCTATAAATAGAGACTACTGTTCCATTGATTGGACAAAACTTCTAGATCATTATTACTCATTTATATCATACTACTTGCATTATTCTTGTCTTCTTAATCATAAATTCTCTTTAAGCTTTATTTTTGTGAGAGTGTCAACAACCATAGTTCTTCAACTTGTATAATTTGTACTTTATGAGTACTTAGCCAAATTTAAACACCTCCATTTGATTTCTTGAATAGTTAGGGAGTGAACCCTATACACTTGAGAGGTCACCAAATTCCTAAGAAAATTTGGAGTGAAAAATTATAAGGCATCAAAAGCCCGAAGTTTTGAAAGGTTGTAGTGGTTTGTCAAGCACCCTAAAGCTTGATAGTTAGTGAAAAAGTTTGATCGAGTGACTTCAATCTGGACGTAGGTCTCAGTGGTGGTGACTGAACATGATACATCTAGTTTGAAATTTCTCTAACCTTAAACTCTTTACTTTAGTATTGAAATTGCAATTTTTGATAGTGTCTATCTATTTGCTTGCTTACTTTATTGATCACACACTTGCTCTCACACTTAGATTTTTCCTTATTAAATCATTTTATTGAAGAAACATTCTTTAAAATATCAAAGGAGGCACTTTGCGAAAAGATTTTGTAAAACTCAATTCACCCCCCTCTTGAGTATTGAAGCCACTTGTCCAACAGAAAGCACGAAAATGTGAGGAGCTAGGTGGATGTTGTAACACCCCGTTTATGACCGGTTTGTTATCATACATTATGATATTATATGCAGCATAAATAATGAATAAAGCGAAAACTACCTATACAAGTATCACGAATTACATACAGGCAATTATGTGAACTAACTTTTTTTTTTATACGTATTGTCCTACATTCCATCTATTTCGTGTCCACACCAAAATATATGATGTTTTCTTACATCTTACGTCTTTCAGGATAAAATGGACAACATCTACCTGCATTTCGAGGATTTGGGATGTTTTGCATTTCGAGGATTTGGGATGTTCTCCAAACTCAACCTGATTAACACTTCAAAATAATTTGTACATAATCTAAGCTATCCACTAGTTTAACTAGAATCCATCCATGGATTTTCATCATAGGCTCTAAGCCATCACTTTACCATATTTACATTATCAATCCTAAACATACATCTACAGCATTATCACTAATCCATTACATCATTTGCATTTACCTATCTCTTAACCTGTCATACTTTATCCATACATTAATCCATCAATATCGTGTCCAGCCATTATGTATAGTCTCTCAAATCTAATACATTAATCATGCTATAATTCCTCAAACTCCTCATCCACCTTTTATTTAATCACTTGGATTAAAATCCAATACATATCAATTTACAACTTTATTACACACGTCACATACAAAGGTACGACATCTCAAATGTGTTTATCGCTTTCTTATCTCTCGGTACCCAAGCTTACATAAAAAAGTCATATTGGCCTTTCAAGTTACACAGGTAATATAAACAATATTATAAATAACATTAAAACATGTTATCATCAATTGACCCCTATGTCAAGATTACATTATACATTCATATCAATGTACATATACTCCTATGTCATGAACCTCAACATAATAAACAAGTCTCCAAAGCGTATGAACCATCAAGCTCTGTGTAGGCTTCTTGTCATATGAAATCCCATGTCCTGCACCTGAAGTATCTGAAATATGGTCCCCAAATGGGGTGAGATACACTTCTCAATAAGCTTGGGTTTCTAGAGCAATTCTCCACCTATGAGTTCACTTCCTGCTTGAAAGGTTAGTGCACATAGCATAAAAGCAAGATATAACTAGAGAATGTATAAATGATTCTGGATCTATGCAACCAATCTACCGCAGATCCGTATAACCAGTTCACAGTGGATCCATGTAACAAGTACACCATGAACTTATGCAACTAGTATACCTTGGACCCGTGCAACTAGTCCACCATGGACCTGTGCTCCAAAAGCACAAAGCTAACTCTTGTGGGATGCCTCTCAAGTGTAGCAGACTTCCAAGGGATGTCTCTCAATGGCTGAAATCCCTATGGAAAGTCCATGTTTCAATTGGCCAAAGAACTAAACAATCAAATCACACACACACACACATTCCACCCCTAGTACTATCCAATGGTGCACTCATCAATGACACAACTCCATATGAATGTAGTTATATCATACAACTAACATACCAAT